ATATAAAAAAATGGTAGACGTGGTCCGATAATAGTATTTACAAAACAAATAATTGCTTAAGTGGTTTATAATAAATTCACTAAAACTTGATTTATTTTTAGTATGATTAAATAATAATCGGCATTGAAATCTCAAATATAACCTTGAGTTATCAGATACTTGTAAAACCTATAGTTGGTATTTTATATAAAAAAGTGCAATGTCTTTCCGCTAAGTTGGCATTACTCACTTCCTGTAACAACCGGAATTGTCGTTTGTCGTACACTTTCATTTCATCGCTGCGAGGAGCGCATAGGTATAGACAGCAGCAGTTGCGGTTCTTGGCCCTCTGTTAACTAGCGACAAGATATTTTTAAAACGACCAAGGAAGGAGAAGGAATTTCTATCCAGTAATAAATTGAATAAATTGCTGAAAGTGCATTCATAAAAACGTAATTGATATGCTAAAAGTATGACTTAAAAACACAAAAATGTAATCATATATTTTGATCCTCTCATTTAAAAGAAACATGAATCTATAGATAGGGGCGATATGCACAAAGAATACTATAAATGCCACTGATTGTATATCACAATCTATTACAGAGGTTTTGATAAGAATAAAATGCGTAAACAACATTCCCTCATAGAAATATTTGTAATAGGATAACTTAAAAGTTGTATTTTTTCCAGAAGCTTCTTCGTCTTTGTCCTTTTCTTCAGTTTGTTGCTTAGTTTTCTTTAACATTTAAATTTGTTACTTTTCGTTATATCTAACATTACAATTTTATATTACCGATAAGAAAAATGTTTATTTGGTGGATAACATCAATTTCATATACATTTTATGATAAGCCTATTATTATTCATTTCTAATTTTGGTGCAACAAATAAGTATAAATAAATAAATTCTTTACAATATTAGATCTTAACTGTATCCCAGAGATTAATAAAGAATTTGAGGTTTAGCATAACATCAAAAATATTTATATATTCAATCTTATCAGTATGGACCTTGTATTTTCATATTTGCTTTCGAAAGCAGGTTGAATCTTGAATCCTAATCAAATATTTTGCTATTACATGCCAAATGCGGCATTTGCCAGATTGTCATTACTCGGATGAAGCGAAAATTGTTCCTAAAAATACCGAGTGTTAAAATAATTTTAATGGATTCTTAATATAAGAATAACTTTTCTGACTGATCACAAATTGAATTTCTTCCTGAGATTATCAAATCTAAGTGTTACATTTGGCTTGTTTAAGTTCAGTTGTATGGGATAAAAAAAGTGTGGATGTTAAATTTCAGATCCATCCAGCTGTTGAAATGTGGTGGGATTAGTGGTTAAACAGATATTTCAGCTGAAACAATTTTTACTTGATGTTTTTATATGAAGTTTTGGCAAAATCCACTTAGAAACAAGATATTATATTTTCTAAAACTCTCATCATCATCACTGGCTCTACAACCCTTTTTGGGTCTTCTTGTTCCAGGATTTTCTCCATTCTGATCTGTTTCATGCTTTTTTCCTCCAGTTTTTTTATTTTTAAGGTTGTTTTGTCATTTTCTATTTGTTCTAAGTATCTCAGCTTTGGTCTTCTTCTTGTTCTTTTTCCTACTGGCATCTGTTTGAATATTTTGTTTTGTATTTTGCCTTCTTCCATTCTTTCTACATGTCATATCCAATGCAGCCATCCTATTTTAATGGATATTAAAAGTCTCAATATTATCTTAAATTACATTTAAATGTACTGTTGATGACATAATTAAAAATGTATGTAATGAATTTAGGAGGAATTAATGTCTAAGAATTTCAATTATATTCCTGTTAGGGAATAGTTTTTGTTTTGTGCACTTAGTTATATCCTTACAATAATTGAAAATGATAAAGGACAAAAATAACTTGTGAAAATCATACAACTGGCATTTGGCCCAGATATGGAGTTCAATTTGGGTAGGTATTACTACTGCAGATATTGAGTTTGAGCCAAATAAGCAATGCCGAACATACAGAGAAGGAATGCCTATCTTTATTAATGGAATTTCAAACAATAACTTTCTTTTCAACATTAGAGCTTCTTGAGGTATGGTTTTTTTCATCATTTTAAACTTTTTACCAGTTTTGCTAAAAACCCTAGGATATTTTCAGACATGAAAAATTTTAATATGTGCCACAAAGGGCAAGTGATTAACATAACTGAATATCTCTGAAATTATTACGGAATTTACCTCATAAATACACAGGATTTCAGGAAGATTTTGGACTAAGGAAGAATTGATCACAAACATATTTTTTCCTTCGTAGTTTGAATATTGTGCTAGTAAAGAAGCATAAATTCTAGTGACCCAATAGTGTTGACTTATTCATAAAGGAACTTCTTAAAACACGAAAATTTTCAAAATTGCAATAACTAAACATAAATAACTATCTAGAGTTTTTTTATGAAACTAATACAATATTATTTGTGTACTCATTCAAAAAACATTCGTGAATGGACTCAGATATTAAAATCAGGACAATTATTCCATATTGCAGAAGATCGAGAAGCCTTTGCAATGGTGATCGCCAACATCAGATAATTTCGATATGGCATGCGAAGAAGAAGACTCATTCAAAGCAACACCTAACTCTATAGCAAAAAGCATTTATGTGGTAAAGTTACTAATCTCTACTATCATTAATATTAGAACTTTTATTCAGTAAGGATAACTCCAACTTAAAATATTTTAACAGCCAAATAAATGTTTGAAGAGCCATTAATATAATTGTATAGCTCTATGATTTTAGAACAAAGAGAATGGCATAAATTGACTGTTAACCTCGACACATATATTTATGTGTATGTATGGAAATTGTTTGAGTAATGATCAGAGTGAAACTTTCACTGTCTTGGCAAAGAACTAATCAGTATAAACTATTTCTATTTTTTAATTTGAACATACAAAATAGTTACAGTCAATCACTTATTTAAAATAGTTTTACACATTAAGACAATAATATTCCATAAAATATGTAAGCATTGGACTGAAGGTTAAAAATAACATATGTTATTGTTCATCATTGAAGTATTTGATTAAAGATTGTTGAATGTTATTAAAAATTAATAAACAGATTTATATGTTTTGAAATAAACCACAATATTCATTAAAATTACTTTTTAACATTTGGATCAACCTTCTAGATTCTAGAAAAATCCTTTTTAAAGTGTCCAAAAATAAAAACGCCAAATTCTGATCTTTTATGCCTACTGCTATGTATTATGTTATTCTTAGATTATAAAAAATGTATTCCCAATATGGTATGGCCTCATCAATTTAGCTCACTGCTTAAATTTGTCTAGTTACTATCTATCAACTATGGACTCAATGTTTATTGTTCCATGTGAGTTTGAGATTGTCTGAGGTTCTATCAATTTCGTTATTTTTATAAAAGTCTTATATTAAATTATGCATTGAATGTTACATTAAGAATAGAGAATGCAAACTTACAATCCAACGGAAAGATAATTTAATGGTATCTATAGTAAAAGAAACTGCAAAAAGAAGAAAATTAAGGAATCAGCTCTTTATTTCATTTTGCTAAATGAAGCAAATTGCATAACAAATTCATAAATACAAACAGATGTCTTAAAGTCAGAATTTGATGTCAATCTAGAGCTACAATAATAACTTTCAAGAATGTTATCTCTAGAAGCAGTGAAAGTGGAAGTAGAATAAGTAATGTACAAAAACATGTTCTTATGGCCCAGTGGTGATTATCATGTGAAAATGATCTAGAATTATCTAGATTCTAGATGCCATCAGCTAAAAGAACAAATAATTTGACCAATTGAAAAATTTAATCAATACCACTGGTTGCTATAAGAATTATTTGAACCATGTCTTAAAATCAGAATTTGATGTCAATCTAGAGCTACAATAATAACTTTCAAGAATGTTATCTCTAGAAGCAGTGAAAGTGGAAGTAGAATAAGTAATGTACAAAAACATGTTCTTATGGCCCAGTGGTGATTATCATGTGAAAATGATCTAGAATTATCTAGATTCTAGATGCCATCAGCTAAAAGAACAAATAATTTGACCAATTGAAAAATTTAATCAATACCACTGGTTGCTATAAGAATTATTTGAACCATGTAGATTATAATTTTGAAATTTGTATGATCAAAGAAGACTAAGAAGAGATCAAATTCAAATCACTGCTGACAAATATATGACTTTATGATTACTCTTTCACATACTTAAAATAAACTTAGATCCTCCAGGCAAGTTGTTTTATGTAAATGTGTTAAGTGCATACACAGGTGTTTAATTAAAAAGAGCTAAATTTAGAACGGAACTAGAGAAATTTTGGAGAAACAAAATTTACATTTTTTGATAATAATAAAATATTGTAAATGAAAGAAAAAACCCTTAAGTCTTCCTGGTTCTTATTGGCGCAGATCTAATTTACGATTTCTATTGATTACAATTGATCCAATTTCGATTGATTTTAATTTAGTATTTTAGCAGGGAAAAGTAAAAATAAACACTGTTAAATCAACCAAAATATATATAAAAGCCGGGTGATAGTTTCCTGCAAAACTTTTATGTAACAGAAGAATTATACCAAATATAAGAATGGTACCCATGAGATATATTTATTTAGTCAACGTTAATAAAAAAAATCAATATGGTTAAATAACTGGTCACTATATTTGAATTTAGAAAATACTACCTTTAAAGGATTACACACAGAATTTATATCAGGGCAAGCGTTTTGAAGCATAAAAGTCCATTAAACCTGTATATTTCTAACAATTAAATAAATTGAAATATAGTGGAATTATGTTCTAAAACATAATATCTAGGTATAGCATGTTATTTTTTTATTTAAACAAAAATACAAACTTATATTTTATTGAAAGACGATAATTGTTTCGGCAACTGTAAATATTTATCACAAAATATTGTTATATTATGTAAATGGCATAAGCAAAACGGTACTTATGGTTATAATTGTTAAAAAGGTACTACTAACCAGCCATTTGTAACAGTAAAATCACGTTTCCAGAGACCTGTGTAAAAGATATTACTGATCAGATAACACGTGCAAATACACAAAAAACAAGCGAACTGAATAGAACTACTTAGGACAATTGCTAAATTTGCGATACTGATAATTTCGTTCACATTTATTAAATCCGACAAGAAGCTGTTATGTTATATACGTCAAAATCGACCGATCCGCAAACAGAATCGTCCTACGTACGATCTCACCTCACAGCTGTTAACCAAACGCTTTGTCGTTGTCGTTTTCGAGCAAGCGAGCGGGGAAAAGCGCGCCGGACTGTTCCATTCTAAACCGAAGTCGAGGTGAGGTCCGATACCAAGTCGACCTAATAATTTGTAGTTTTACCTGTTTTTAACTAATTGTATTCTTAGGACGTGTATTTTTTCTAATCTATTTTTACGTTCGATTTGTGAATGACCATTCCTAATACATTAAGTAAATTTAATTATCCTAAGAGCAAGGTTTACGGTAAAATCGATAATTTTTGCAAGGCATGTCGTGGGTTTTAGGAGTTGTTAGGCGATTTATGCTAATGCTTATCTACTCGGGACCGATAAAGTACCTATTATTCGTAAACTGTTATACGCCTAATAAATTATGTGGAGGGAAGTTTATTATTCAGCTCTTGAGGTGTTTTTTTTATCTTATTGACTATTTTAAGTATTAAATTTCATACATCATATTCATGAACAGGTACCGCCATCTTTCATTCCTTATTGGAACTACCGTACATGACTATTTCTTGGCTAACAGCTATCTACAGATTTACGATTTGCATTTATTTATACGAATACGGAAAGTGGCGAGCAAGAATGTGTTGCATTATGTAATGTTACAACTTCTTCCAATAAAAAACTCACTTCGATATCGATTAGATTAAAATGGGTAGGTTTCTGAGAAATTAAAATGATCTTTACACCAACGGAGAAAAGTATTTTTTATACAAGAATCATAACAAGCTATACAAAAATGTATGTATTTAAGCTTGAAATTTATTTTAATTTATACATACCAACATGGCGATCAACTTCGGAAGCAATGATATTAATGTTATATCGTTTATAGTTTGTTCTAGGCAGTGGCGTATCCAAGGAGAGGGTCACGGTGACCCTCCCAAACAAAATTAAATAACAATCAAATAATCGTAACAAAAATAATTTAAAACCCGTCAACCCTATACTACCCTGCTAAGTAAAAACGTCCGAACTGACAATATTAGACTTTTGAGAAAAAGCAATATTTGTAGTTAATACCGTGCCATCCTCATTTTAAAAAGCAGACAGTTTTTTTCACATAAGTAGTTAATTAGGATTAAAGTTTATTTTCATTTACCCTTTCAAACTACCCCAAGTTTGATATTTGATATATATAACTTTTTAACCAAGTATTAATAATGTATAGGTTATTTAGAATTATTAATTTTTCAGATAGGACTTTTTTAGTTTAAATATGAATGACAATTAAAATTTTCTTCTTCTTCTTCTGGTTCCTATCCGTTTCGGATGTTGGAAATCATATTGGCAATCATAACCTTGCTCGCTGCGGCTCGAAACAGCTCCTTTGAGGTTTACTTAAACCATGTTCTTAAATTCCGCAGCCATGATATTCTCCTTCTACCGGGTCCTCGCTTACCTTTGACTTTACCTTGCAATATAGACTGTAGCAGGGAGTAACGGTGCTTGATTTCTTATAACGTGTCCCAGATATTGCAATTTTATGCGTTTGATCGTAAACACAATCTCTGGTTCCTTCTTTATTTTTCCTAGAAATTCTTTGTTCGTGATCCTTGCTGTCCATGATATTCTCAGCATTCTTCTATAAAGCCACATTTCAAATGCTTCAAGTTTTTTAATAGTGGTGTCTGTAAGCGTCCATGCCTCCGCCCCGTACAACAACACAGAGAAAACATAGCATCTCAAATATCTCATTTTTGTATCAAAGGGATATGTTGTGACTTTTGAAGATGGCGCTCATTTTGTTAAAGACCGTTTCTTGCCTTTCCTATGCGGCACTTTATTTCCTATAAGTTGCTCCACTGTTCGTTAAGAATAGTTCCCAGGTAACAATATTGTTTTACTCGCTCTATCTGCGTCCCATTAATGTATAGATGAGCCCCGTTTATATTCTCCTTGCTGATAATCGTTTGTTTCGTTTTGTGGGTATTAATGTTTAGTCCGTACTGTTGACTGTACTCGTTTATTCTGTCCATTAGCCTCTGAAGTCCCTCTAAACTATCTGCTATCACCATGGTGTCGTCGGCATATCTAACATTGTTTACTCTTTCACCATTTAGAAGGATGCCTTCGTCTATTCCGTAAAGAGCTTCCGAGATTAAAATTTTACTAACTGCATTTACTTATTAAATAAGTTTTCCGCAAATCGCCAGGAAATTTTGACATTCCTGTCAAAATTTCTTGAAGAAAAAGTCAGGACTTCCTTACTGTAAGGAAATGTCATTTCCTTACTGTAAGGAAATGATATTTCCGTACAGTTGTTAGTGTTCTACATAAATGATAGAAAACACATTGCTTATAAGGAATTAATTTATATTTTGAAAACATCAAGTCATTGCTGAACACATTTTTAAGATCAATTTGTTATATTTACAGTAATTTGACAGTTAGTACAATTATTGAACATTGGAGGAACACTCTTAGAACTATGAGAAACATTTTGGACAACATGCAGGGTGGAAGTGTCATTTTGTTGAATATTTTGTACTGTGAAAATTTTATTTGCCACCTCAACGTTATTGTTAAGCGATTCTTCGATATATCCTTCAGCAACGTTTGATGACTTCCATCCGCCATGCCTCTTTAAACTAGTTATGTCGGCACCAGAGTCAACCAATATTGTTGCAGAAGACCGACGAAAGCAGTGACCAGTATATTCTGTCGGATTTACCAAGTTCAAATAAGTAGCAATTATTTTGGGCATTTTTCTAAATTGATGAATTCCTACCACTTGTCTACAACCCTTTCCGCTTTGATATTTAAAGAAAAATCGGTCACTGTTCATATTTTCTGGTCTTAACGAAACATACTTTCGATAAACATTCAAGTAGATCTGATTAATTACAAATGATCTTGGTTTGTTGGTTTTCGAATCAGGTATGCTGATTAAAAGCTTAGATTCTAAGTCTTCTATATCGTGTACAGTCATTCGGACTAACTCATCCATTCTACAGGCCCCAGAAATACCAAATATTACAGCCACCTAAAAAAAGCTATAATCTAAATAGAAATTAAAACCTTGTAAATTACCTTAATCATTAAATTTTCTTTATCTGGAGCTTCCTGGATAAATTTTTCAATTTCTTCCTTCGTTAAAATCTTAGATTTCTTTGCCCTATAACCTTGAGCTTGCCGTTTCAATAAAGAACGAAGTTTTGAGTATGTAGATATATCTACATTGTGTTTAAGTGCAAGGGTTGACTTCAGCATTGAATAATTGGCCCATAATGTTGAAGATTTCATCTTTAAACAAAGGTCTAGGAAGTATGCCATTACAACATTTTCTGAGAAAGAACTCATATTTTTACTCATGCGATAATCCATAAAACGTCTGTATGCATTTTCGTACTTTTCTCTTGATTTCTTTGGCAATAATTCTAATGAAGCAGTATTCACTGCCTCAACCAGCTCTGGAGGAGTCCCAGGAATGGAAATTTCATCATCACTTATCATTTTACTTTCGAGAACACCAGCAATTAAATTTATAAGCGTCAAGTTTGACAATTCAACCTCAATACGTTTCCATAGTAACCCAAGTAATTTTATTAGGAATTTCAAAGCACCATTTATTTGGGAATAAAATTATCGCGTTTTTTTTAAATCAATCAATACCTGTCGAATTTTAAACGATTTGCGGAAAAATAGTATGTTTACCTCGTAGGAAAAGCCACATTCCTGGACTCTGTGTTGCTAAGTCTCGGCTTGCGCCTCGACTTAGCAATCTTCACAGTCGTCCAGGAATGTTAAGCTTTTCCTACCCGGTAAACAATGTACTATTATTAAAAAAAGACAAAACTGTTACATATTTTATATTTCCACAAAAGTAATTACAGTAAAAAGATCTTGAAAAAAATTAAATCAAATTACAAATTATCCTCAACAACGGATTCTAACACTGGCATATTTTCCCAAAACATAATCCTCCTCTTAGGTAATATTGGGCGGATCTTATTTACCAATGTTTGTTTCCTCTTTATGTCAATCCCTCAAGCCTTATTACTATTGTATGCATGTTGGGTTTGGGTATGTCTGCTTTTGTAAGATTTTGCCATTAGGGAATTAAGATTTATAAAATCGTCTGAAAAACTTTATAAGGTTTTTATTTCCTCTTGAACAAGAAATAAGAACTACATATCGTAAATACGGCCTTGGTGACATGTGATTAATTTTATGTGTTGAACTATGATCTTTCCATGCATAAAAATGTTCTGTTTGCATAAAAATATCTGCACTTTTCCAGAATTTCAATTCTTTACACAAGACATAAGTCTAATACTTTACCCATTTGAACACTTTTGCCCGAGGTAATATGATCACCTTTTTTAAATCAACAGAAATATACATTTCGTGAGAGTTTGTGGATACAGTCACATCATTCTGATATTCTTTCCGTGCTGAGTCATATAAAATTGTATGCTTCTTCCATGTTTGACAGCAGTCACACCCTGCATTTTCATTAATTTCATTATGTTTTCTCTCATATTTATGTAGGTTGTATGTTTCGCATTCCAAACACTCTTCATGACCCAGCTTTGCAAATGATATATTCATATCAGTAACATTTTTACGATAAACTTCATAACTGACTTTCATATCTGGATACATTTCCTTGCAGTGCTTGTGCATTTGTGTAATAAAAATATCACTTAGCAAATACTGCCTATTTGGTGCATGTTCTCGGCGATAATGTGCTATTGTCGGATTGAATAACTGTATAATAAGACCGGTATCAATTTTCCATTTACATGGATGACGTCCTCTTTTATCAGGAACAGGTATTATGTTCGTAGCTGCTAGAATGTTTCGAATAGTTTTCAAAATTCGGTCATTGTTAACATCAAATCCCAGGGTAGAAAGGAGAAAAGTTTTGCAGACAGTAACTTCATCACCATTAACATTTTTCAGGTAATACTTGAACGTATTTCTGTGACAAGTGTTTGTTCCAGCTGTTCTTCGTTTTATATCGAAGCGCTTTATACAACCATATATAAAT